CTGCTACTACTACCACCACGACGACGACTACTACTCCTACTGTACTGCTTCCACTCCACGAGTACTACTGCAAGTAGTCCTACTAGTACTTCTACTACTCTGCTAGTACTTCTTCTACTACCACTACTACTACCACTACGGCTACAACTACGACTACGACCACGACGACCACGACGGCCACGACTGCGACTGCTTTACCACTGCCTGCCACCTACTAGTAATTACCACTGCTTGCTTTTAAATTTACTACTACGCACGTCTATTTTAATGCGCTACTCTCACTACTACTCGTTACTGTGCAAGAACCCCTATTCTTTGTCTTCTTTGATCTTCGTATTCTTTGCGTGCGATATCCAGTTTAGGACAGTAGGACACAGCGTCAATTCGAGCGCTCTGGTCTAGGCTCCCCGCTGCATCGGCTTGAGTACGGTGCGTATGTGAGGGAGACTCCTCCACAATACCAAGCTGGGTACACGCACATATGCAGTCTCGAGCCTGCAGAAAAGCTTAAAAAGGTATCTAGGTCGTATTCGAACATGGCTGCTACGAATTGCGAACCTGCAAGAACCCGTATGTGCACTGGAGTGGTATTTGGGGCGACTTCCCGAATCAAGCACAACCCGGCACTTGGATGCTCAAATTTTGCAGTGATCACGCAAAGCTTTCCTGAACTCAACCGAATTTTTGCAGTGCTTTTGGACAAGCTTCCGCTGCCTCAGACATCCAACTTGAGCGCGAAGAGAGGGGCTCGAGCTCTTTTGCCTTGACTGTGAGAAGCCACAAAACTGCCTGGAGTGAGCTGAAATCCTCTACGCCTGCAATATGCAGCAACAAACGAGGAAGGACCATCTCAAAAACTGCACGTTGTGTCGGCAAATTACATTTGCCGCTCCGGCATTGGAGAAGCGCTTTTGCCTCTTCCTGCTCCCATCCTCCGTGCTTGGCTGCGTAGGTATTTTGCAGTCCTCGTTCCACAGTACTCAGGGCTCACGCGCTGGGGTCTAGGTTCAGGGGTTGTTCCAGTCAGACTCAGAGTTACCAGTTACCAAACCGTTCCAAACCTGATTGCAGCACCGGCGGCACAAGCAATTCCCAAATGCACAGCTTACTCGTATCTCGAGTGCTGAAGCTGGAGCCTGCCATAACACGACAAACGTCTGTCGTTTGCCTGTCTCTGCAGAACCTGGACCTGTCCTCTGTGCCTACAAGTGCATCTTGTCGGGCCACGCGGCCTACAAGTGTTACAAGTGTATGTCTCCAGGCCACATAACAAGACCTCTCTAAATGTTGCTAGGTATGGAGGTGTTAAGCTTGCTGTGCCAGGACCCTAACAAGCGAGTTCGCTCTCTTGAGCTGCTCCACCACACACACACATGCACATGCAACCCATGCGAGAAAGCATCTTCCTCGTCTGCCTCCACAACCACCTCTCTCCGGTCCCAAGGAGACATCACGCTGCTGCTGGCAGGTCGCGACGCCTTATGACTTCCACGAGTTCAAGTCTGTCGCAATCTTCCTACGGATGGTACTGTACTGCTACTCCTCCTTGAACTTTTACTCCTAAGTCCTGCTACTGCCACTGCTCGGGTGACTACAAGGACTACGACTTCGCCGGAGTCCCCTCCTCACCTGCTCGTCCTCCAACTACTACTACTACTACTACTACTAGTAGTAGTACTTCTACTACTACTGCTACTACTACCGCTACTACTGCTACTACTACTACTACTACTGCTACTACCGCTACTACTGCTACTAATACTACTACTACTACTACTACTACTACTACTACTATTACTACTACTGCTACTA